TCTGACTTTATTGTAAATATAAATAATTTTTTCAAGTTATGGGCTTGCTTATAGAAAATTATTTAACAAATAATTACCTACCTACGTTACGCAAAACTGCTTTGTACTCAGACAAGCGTACCAACTAAATATCAGATTACTTTTTGAAAGGATACTTTTATGTATGTCAAGACAAAAGTGTTTTAGTTAAACCATTTTATAATACTTTAATTAATTTGTTCTCTCATCAGTACCGGCACTTTGAATATAAGTTCCTAATAAAAATATAACCTTTAATTTAATTTATGCAAAAAATGGTAAAAATGTTTAATTATATTATTAAGGAGGGTCAAAAGTGACAAACAAGGTGAACATTTTCGATCCTGTATCAGATTAATAATAAAGTAATAAATTATTCATTAAAAATTAAACTTTACTACGCCTATGATGCATGAGCATTAAAAAGAAATAAAAAAATAAAAATGTATTTAAATGAATACAATATAAGACTGTTCATGTTCATCCACTGGTCCACTATATACTTTTAGTGTTTGTGTGAAAATACGTTCGCAAGAAACATAATATACAGGGTTTCTCATTAAGAAGAAGGGACACAGAACAACTTTACTGTGTCATAAAAGATACACCTATCAACAAAAAAAATTAGTTAAATCAACTTTGCCAGTGGCGTACGGCATGGATAAGTAATACCTCCATCCCCTCTAAATTTTAAGCCACTGTCCAAAAACTTATTTATAATTTTAAATGTTATTATATGTTTTAAATAAATCGTGTACTCTTATTGAGAACTGGTTTTCCAGATATTCACACTCAAAGGTGGATATTCTTTTTAATTTTAATTTCTTTTTAAATTTTGTAAGTTTAGATATTTTTTTTAAACTGAAAAGGTGTAAAACATATATGCATTTGCATGTTTGTAACCTTTTTTTATTCTTATACATTTTATGTGTACTTACAATGCAACATAGTTCAGTATCATTATAATTAAATAAAAAATAAATTCAATAAAATAACAGTAACTCACAATTTAAAAACCCTCATTTATGGATATGAGTTTACTCTTGAGTCTTCTAAAAAAAAGGGGGGTTGGGTGTGGGCAACCTCCATCGCTCTACTATATCCGACCTCAGCTTGCGCTCATGAACCATATTGAAAATAATCATTAACAACCCAGAAAAGGTACAATTATCTATACCACTAATATCTCAAAATACTTCAATTATGAAAAAAAAAATCACCTCCACTTACACTTAGGGGGGAGAGCGAATTCACCACCACCTACATTTAGAGGAGGATGAAGTAACTTGTCCTTTGGGGAAGTGAATTTTTTTTCTTCTTAAAGTCCAATACATCGTACCCGAAGTTCATTTTCCTAAGTGGAGAGGATCTATATATAGACCTCCCCTGGAGTAGGGGTTGAAGTAAGGGTGAGGGGAAGTTGGGCGCTTTAAAATCGTTTCAGGCGGAGCCCATGGCCCCGCTTTTAGTTTTTTCTATTTCTTACCATTTAGACATGGCGGAAGCAGATGAAGGAAATTGGAGAAGTGGGGAGAAGTAATTTTTTTTCGGTTTTCACTATCCTCTATCCTTCCATGTAATATTGTGCATGTCGGTTCGAAGTTAAAGGGAACTCATGTTCGCTATAGACTAATTTTATTAGTCAGTCACAATTGACAATAATTGTGGATCAATGGATTTCATATATCGAAGTTTGCGAAACAAATACTAACTTCTACCAACATTTTTTTATTGATAATAGCTACTAAACAAAAAAAAATCGGTTCACAAACAAGAGAAAATGGTACTGAATAATTTTGTCTTTGCCTATTTATATATAGATTCCCAACAAGAGTAAATGATTAAAATTAACATCAAAAAATTCAAAAATATAGTCCAAATAACTTTTTGAGAGTGGGGTAAAATTTAAAAGGGATATGAAGGTGTTACTTACCTATGTCGTACGCCGCTGGCAAAGTTTATTTAACTGATTGTTTTGCTGGTAGGTGTATCTTACGACAACAAAAATGTTTACCAAATTATACTAAGAAAATGTAAGGCACTCTTTTAAAAATATGTTTGGTTTCGATTGTTTATATTACAATGATATACCGTGATGTTGCCGCTATATTAACTTTGAATATTGCTATGTTGGTGAAATTAGGTATTGGAATGAATATAGTTAATAGTCAAGCTTGGTACCTAATTGATAGAATTATCATCTCGTCGTTGTTCTGTATTTTAATTAATAAAACTCGTTGTTTTTGGACTTTAAACATTTGTTTTCTTGGATATTCTTACATATCAGAAGTGGGATATTAAATCCAGTGATCGCTCGTTGATGGTGATAGTGTTTAGAAGTGTTGTTCGATATACAGTCCATTTGTTGTTGTGTAGTTTTGTGTCTAATAAATCGTGACAAGTGATGACGAGAAAAACCCATTATGACTTATTTTAAATGGAATTAAATTTAAATAATGTTAAGTAGTCACAGACAATTCATGTACAGTAAATCGGCAAAGTATTTTGCGAAGCTTTGTGGACAGTCGCGTTGTTTCTCAAGGTACTGTAAAATTAAATGTACGTTAAGCGTTTTTGTGCTAGACGACAATAAGATGATATATGACTGTATAAGCGGATGTGATTTTATTAAATTGCCAAATGTAATGCTGATAAAGAGAGGCACAGGTGTTTATATTCGTGAACGGGAATGAATAACGAACTAATAGTAAACGATTTAAGTTGTTTGAAATTGAAAACTTCGAAATAAATTGTAGATAAACAATAAACAAAAACTTGAGTTTGAAACACTGATGGATGAATTTAAAGATTTAATTTCAAGGTCCATGGTTGAACTGACTGTAAGAAATATGACGACGACGACAACGATACTGTGTAATACGACACTCCAACAAACTTAAGACTTTATTTATGGGATATTTCGACGAAACACATTAAGATGACTTGTTGATGTTAACGAAGATATGCTAAGGATGGGATAACCTTAAGCATACAGTATTGATTGGTAAACGAACCAGAAACGAATAAAAGTTGTTTGTTATATAATTTTCTATAATTGTTATCCTATACATAATTTCTCTAAAATAGACCGTATTCGAGATATTTGAGAAAATGTGTATATTTCGAATTTTGAAGAAAATTCAATAACGGATAAAGAAAAAAACATTAAATTTTAAACTTAAGTTTTATTTCGGATTGACGTGAAATGATTAGATTTTGGACACAGTCGGAACATCTGGGGGGGTACTTTATGGGAGGCCGTTTTTATATTTTATGGAATATATCTGTTATTTATATATTTGGAGAAGAAAATTATTCAAATAAAAGTTACTTCTAATATTATTATCTATAATTTTAAGTAAAATTTTCCTGAAATGGTCCGTATTCGAGAAATTTGACAAAATGTGCAAAATTCTGATTTTTAAGAAAATTGTTGAACTAAAAGTTGTTTGCGATATCGATCTCTATAATTTTTGTTTATACATGATTTTTCTAAAATGGACCGTAATGGAAAAATTGTAGGAAAAGTGCTAAATTTAAATTTTTCAGTATTTTCGTTTTCAATGAATATCTATAGAAAAATGTTTCGAGGTAGATGTATGTGGAAAATGTATATATTTAGTTTATCCTCTAAATATTTATAGAGGTGATGCAATAGGTTGTACAAAATAACCGGTAAAAGCCTATAATAACTAGATAGGAAAGTCATGTGTTGGACACATCAGATTTTTAATTATTAAATAGTATCCATAGCGCGCGAACATATCTTACTCTTATTTCATAGCTGAGTCCAGAGCCAGGTCATATTCATCTCTTAGCTGGGTCGCTACGGGACGGTCTGCAGCCTGCGCTCATCGCTTCACCTCCCCGCGACTTTCTAAAAAATAATGCCAAGATACGTAGTGTTTGAGCTGATTTTTTACAGGACACCCAATGTCCTTAACTACAAGCCGCTACTGCATTGGACCCATCATTTCATAAATAACAAAGGGAAATGACTTCATAGCTAAATGTAAAATCTATAATGAAAATTAGCATATTTTTATTTTACTTGAAAATTTAACTACGAATTACGAATACTCATTAACGCTAATCGAACTTTTTTTAATGTTTTTAAAAATTGCTGATCGTGATTGTTTTACCAAATTATTTAATCACCACGATATAAACTGATGAAATTAATGTTTATTTTTGTACCAATACGTTATGATTATATTTCCGCCAAGATAACGTGACATTATTCAAAATAATGTTTATTTTGTTTGTAATCCGGATTGTCTGGAAGTGTCATCCTTTTTATGACTTAAATAGGTATTAATGATATCAATCGCTAAAACACAAATAAACGAAAAAAAAAAATAGGTATTTATTTAACGCTATTATGTCCATAGATCAATCTTTCGTATTTTTATCATTTTATGGCTCTACAAGCAGCCAAAAATTTTCTATTTATATATTTTATTTTTATTTGTTTGATTCTATATGTATATTTATAAAAAAATTCATTTCGGCAAGTTTATATCGATTGAAATGTGAAATTTTTGTTTTTACATTCTATATTAGACCGGGAGCTGCAGCCTCATCAAAACTTTTACCTCATAAAGTATAACATTTATAACCTTCAGATTTAATGTGGATCGATAACAGCATTTAAAACTTTTTTGCTTTACATCTCAAACCGGGGGTATATGGCCACTAGAAAAGGGACCAAAATTTGACAATTTCTAGTGGCCACATACCTCTGTTTGAGATTTTAAATGGTAGGTACCTATATTATCGATCCACATCAAATCTGATGCACGTTTTGATGCAGATGCCCCGATTCATATCTAGATGAGGGTAATTGATCACCAGCACGATTACTTGATCTTCCCCTATTCATATTTATTTTAATGAGAATATCTAAGAGCAAATTTTATGTGAGATATCCACCAATGATTTAGAATTATGGAAATAATTCAAATTAATTTTCTTTGTTACAGGGTACAGTTCATGGTATAGCATTTGCAATAAGCGGTGAAGCAGCTGTTCCCTATCTATCCCAACGAGAATGTAAACTTGGTGGCTACGTATCTCATTTCACTACGTTCCACCCCGTACATGGAGAACCCTTTCAAGCTCTGGTTTACATAGCCGATAGCACAAACTCCCAATGGTTAGGTGATGCAGACGAAAGGACAATAGCATATGAAATAATAAACTCCAGAGGACCATGTGGAACAAACGTAGAATATGTAATTAGGTTAGCAAATTTTATGCGAGAACATTTCTCAGATGAAAATGATTGCCATTTGTTTAAACTAGAAGAAGAAGTGCTCTCCTTGGTGGCCAGCAGAAAGATGTGCTTGAAAACTCTTATGGGTACAGGAGAAGGATGTGTAACTTTTATTAGAAAAAAAGAATCAGACACATTTAATTACATTGCAGATAAAAAAGATGCAAGACTTGATACCTTTCAGTATGCTATGAAGATTCAGGGAACAAAATTGCGTTGCCTCAATCTTTAATTCTATTTCCAAGGCCCTTATGAATTACAAAGGGCTCTATTTTCTATATACCTATATATGCAACAGATATGGCCAGGTCTAGATACCAAAGTTAAAGATTTAGTACAAGAGAGTCGCCCATCAAAATGTTTGAAACCTGATTTTTGCATCTAGTTTATAATCAAGTTAGATATTTTAGAAGAGATACGGTTATCAAATAATTACGATAAAATGATAACTATACTGTCATTTTTAACATAGAAGTCATAATCAAAAAGAACAAAACAAAAACAAATAACACTATACAAGAAAATGCTTTTACTCTACTTATCTTATCGGATATATTTATTTGTAAATCTATAATTATATATGTTTGTCATCATATGATATGTATTATCCTGCATTTTCCAGTTTTCCAAATCAACTAGACATACAAAAGAAAATTTCACAATTACAAAAAATTCATTTATATCAAATATATATTAAGAAAGATGTTATAACTTGTTATGGCTTCTTAAGAAAAAATACCTTTTACTCCTATTAAAAACTATATTTGTCTCTAGATATTGGAACATTATTTGTTAGTAAAATTATTTTTTTTTCTAAATTGACTTTTTTAAAATCCTAAATTTTAGCTTTAATATTTTTGATTATACACTCATATACAGTTTATTGAGTAAAAATATCAATTATTATACCTACTATCAAAAGTTATCCATGTTGATCATGAAACATTTTATATTTACACCTTTTGCAATGGTTAGATGTTAAAAATATGTAGGGTTGAATCCCGTATAGGCAATTTTTTACACAATATAACTTATTAAATTTCCAGTACCTATTGTTATTCTTTGATATTCAATATCAGTCACGAAATGTTGGTCTAGTCAAATAAGACAGACCCCAAATATATTGCTAAAAAAAACTATTTTGAGAGCTACAGCAATACATTCCATTCTTTATCGAGTCGGTGGCGTAGCGGTCTCGCGCGCTTATATTCATATATAGGCAAGTTTGTGTTCAGAGACAGAGAGGGGCTTCGAATCCTACACAAGACCATGTGGATTTTTAATTAAATTGCATGGTTCGTTATAGGATTTGATTATGCCGTATTAATAGAAATTCAATTTCTATTGATATGACATGCAGATTATAAAATCGCCATGCGTTACCGTCTCGATGATGGTGGGTTAGGTTTTCCTCACCTGGAAGTCAAATGGCACATCAATCATCTTTAAGTCGCCCCGAAGCGCCACGGCAAATAATAGTAATGGCCGTCCCTTCCCCTACACAAGTCGTTCAGTCAACTTCAGGGGTGGAGATTCACTCGTAAGGGGGTGAATTAGGGAGACTATTATTATTATTTATATCAGTTTCCAATTTTTTCTATAAACTAAGGCAATCACTGTGGACTTTTCTCAGTGTTTCTATATAGATTTTTATGATCTTTCTTCCATAACCTACCTTTCAATTTGAATCGGTCCAAGTGATTATCTAGTCATATATATCACATCTAGAACAATCATTCTCAATGTACTTAGACTTTGAAATGATCTTCTTCCCAAAGTTCCCCCTGGTCAAACACACACTAGTTATCAAAATTTTCAAATTCAAAATCCCCATTAACAAACGCCCACTGCGGGGTTCGCGGATAATAGAATGGAGTGATTCACAAAAAATGTTTCCAAAGTAGGTCATGACCGACAAAGAAGAAGAATTGTACGCTCGACGTACGTGAATTTTTCCAGGGTCTACTTTAGAAACATTTTTTGTGGATCACTCCTTATATATACCTACATAAAAATAAAGAACAATTTACTACCAATTGTTTGGATGCAAAAATTACGGTAAAACTTTTAAAACCATGTAACATATTTGAACAACAAAATATACTTACCTAACTCTAAATCGGATTTTATCAAAACTGTCAACTTTTTGATAAACCCCGATTTTTTAAAGATATTTTTAAATTATTTGTTTATTGTATAATGCAAAAATGTCGATCTTTGTGATTTATTACGTTTTAGTATTTTCCTAATTTCTTACGTTTGTAAAGACAGCTCATATTATATTTATTTTTATATGCAGACTAGTTATTTTTGTATGGAACTAATCTGTGATTTTAAAATGTTTATAAAATAAAAATATATAGTTTTATAAAGATATTTTATTTTATAACGAATGACAAGCCCCACCTTTGGTCTTATTTTTCTGCTAGCTATAACTCTAAACATACTCTAAACACACCCTTGCGGTATATTTTTAGGAAAACAAAAAAAGAAAGGTAAATTAAATTATAAGCACTTTTCACAAACAAGGCTTTCGTTTTTATTTTAAATCATTCAAAAATTGTTAAAAAACTAATAAAAACCACACTAACCAATTTTCTAAATAATAAAAAAAAAACAGAATCTCAATTTGGATTTAAACAAAAAACGCCCACATAAGATGCTATTACAGTATATTACGTAACAAGAGTTGTAAGTAACCCATTACGCACGAAGTGAAAAAGTGAAAAATTTCACCAGTGCGTAATGGGCTTACAACTCGTGTAACGTACTATACTACTTGTTCTACGCCCACTTATTTTCTTCTATTAAATAAAGGACATGCTTGTGTCGCCAATCCATAAATTTTCTATAGGTAATTTCGTACCTTTCTTTGGATTTTAGCGGTAACAAATTATGTGTGGTAGCTTGAGCTTTTTCTAAAATCTCCGGTGGAATGCTCTTAATTTAATCACTTTCACTACTATAACAGTCATATTCATAGGTATAGTTGAGAAAATGTTCGAAGACAATAATACTTTGTTAAAAAATTGACAATATAAATGGCAAGACGTTTATTTGCAGAGCATGCTAAGAAAACGCGCCTTTTTTGAAAAATTGTATAATGTGTTGCCGACATTTAGGGGTATCATTTTTTTTAATCCAAAATGTATCTCGCTAATGCTAAAAGTTTTCATGTTTTTCAATTGATTAAATTTATGTAAATAGACCAAATAAAGTCGTACGTAGATAAAAATTTGATTGCAATTTGATTAAACTAAGAAATTTAAGATTTCTTATCAAAACACACGTCTATGTTATGAGATCTCATTAGGTGCATGTTATTTATTTATTTATTTATTTCCAAACAGGCTTTACGCCTAATTACATGGAAACAACAAAATAATACAATGTACGCTAATTTAGCTAAAGTCATATTCTCAATTAACAAACTTATTTATTACCTAAATTACCCTCCTCTGGTATTACTGAGTAATTAGCCTTTTGTGCAGCATAAACAAAAGAAAAATATTGAGCAAAATCTTGATCTATTCTATCACCAGTCACTTGCATACCATTTAAATGAAATTTAGTTTCTGTACAACTATTCTTTTTCTTTCTATTGACATATGACCAAAAGTCGTTGACTTTATTAACTATATTATCTTCAATTTCTGATATATGAGATTTATATCTTTCTTTGGTCAATACTTTGAGTTGCCTTCTAATCTGAATGTATTTTAGATTGTATCCATCAGATATATTCTTAAGTTTCTTTAAACTATTTTTTTCTTTATGTAACATTTTCATCTCATAATTAAACCACAGTGGATAGTTTTTCTTTCGATATTTTTTATTCGAAAATTTTGGAACAGATACATATATCATTCATTATTACATAAAAGTGTTCAACTGCTACATTCACATCTACCTGATTTACTACTGAATCCCAATTTGTATTCCTAACCAAGTCAGTTAATAGCTCAAAATTTGCTTTTGTAAAATTAAATTTATTATTTAAATTTGTCTCAAATCTATTAGCTGTTTATTATTGATTAAATTTATGTTAATCTCTAAAGAAGGATGATACATATCTTCTTCAACTGAAGGTGTGGGACATTGCACTATTCTAATATGGTTAATATATTCACTTGATGATAGGACTAAATCTGTTTTACCCAACGAATTTTTAATATTATTAACCAAACCAAAGGAATTATAATGTAAAAAATCAACAAATAATTGATTATTATTACCTTTCAAGCTGTCTAATTTTGTATTAAGTCCTACTATTTCTGTTAAATTGAAATCCCCAAAGATATATACAACTTTATCTTTTACTAAATCCTGAATACTTTGAAAAATTTTATTATAAACGTCATTGTTAAATGTCATTTACAAGGAATGTTGACAGTGCGATTTTTAACGTTTACTGACATGGACATAGAAAAAATATTTAACAATACTACATACGATGCTCTAGATAAGGGAATACCGTTACTATGTGTATTTGTTGATTTAACCAAGACATTCGACACCGTTGATCACACCCTTCTTTTAACCACGTTAGAAGATATAGAAGTGAGAGGCACTACACGTAATCTATTTAAAAGTTATTTAATCGAAAGAAAACAGAAAGTCATAGTAAATCAACATATTAGTAAACAGGAAACGGTTATATGTGGTGTCTCAAGGCACGCTGTTAGAACCAATACATTCTATAGTTTATTTAAACAATCTATTTTTTTAGAAGAAAAAACAATTAGTTTCGCCGATGATACGGTAATATTTTATGTTGAGGATACTTGGATTAACTTTAAAAAAACTGTATACCTACCATTTGCGTTCAATCAATCGTCTCTTCCATCGTTTGAATTAAAGATAAAAATCCACCCTTTAAATCAAGTAAAATATATAAGAACTTTTATTGATAGCAACTCAAGTTGGAATACCACACCGAGGCACTACAAAAAATAAATTAGGTATCAACCTTAACACAATATTAGAAGATATGCCAATGTATCTAATAATTCTGTTTGTTACGAAAAAGACAATACTTACTAGATGTTTCGGAGATAAAATTTGCTAAGTAAAAAAAAATATTGCTTATTTACTAAATTTTACGTTATTAGATCTTGAATAACAAACTAATTCAGAATTAAATAGCATTGAACGTTCCAAATTACTTAACGAGTATAGGTATTGTTTCTCTACTAATTTAGGACAGGTTGCTAAAACGACTGTTACGGAAATGTTGATCACACTAACCCAGAGATTAGGGACATAAAGATTGGAAACGCAACGACCGCAGCAACGATGGCGTCATCTAGCGTCTCAGATGTTAACTACAGGTATACGTCGTTTGTAGAGAGAAACCTGTGTTGCCAAATATTTTTTTTGAGAGATCGTACAAGTAGAGTAGAAAAATGGTATTCCGACAAAAAAAATGTACAATAGATACATGCATAGCAAAATATAACTTAAATGGAATAAAAAAGTAAAAAAAAAACTTTGGCATGATAATTTATTTATTTATAAAAATATTTACAAGAAAAAAAAACTAAAGAAAATAGATGAAACTCTAAATTAACATATTTAAAGTAATCAATGACTGTCACTTCAAAGTGATTGAAATTTTGCATGCAAGCTTTTTTTATGCCGTGATAGTCGGTGTACAAAACTTAGACTTACACCTAGTCTAAAGTACAAAATCACCATGGTCATAATCACAATAAGTCAGAACGAAAATGACTGCCTTCAGAAATTACGAACGGCCTATGAATATTTGCAAATAGTTTTTGATTTTTATGGTTTTATGTTCTGAAGTTGTTGCAGATATTTAAATAAACCTACTAAAAAAGTGAAGATCGTACGATCTCACTGATGCAATCGTACATCGTACAGAGAGTTAAAAAATCGTATAAATACGATTTTGATCGTACGGCTGGCAACACTGAGACAGAAAGTAGACGTGGACAGCAGTAGACAGTTTGTAAATATAAATGTCAGTTTTATATATATCGAAGAATCCATTGAAGAATCCTGATTTTAAATTTTGAGTTCTTGATTGTGTTATCCTCTAGATGAACTAAGCGAAATAGTTGTGGCTGTTTTTGTGTGAAATTTAAAGACAATAATTATATTTGGTAATATAACAATAAGTCGGAGAACGTATTGCATTAGTAACACATGCCACATGAACAAATTTATCGACCCCAATGTGGCGTTCTTTAATTATCCAAAGTAGGTAAGATCCATTCATATAAGAAACACAAATATTAATCAACTTTTGTCACAAAGTAGGTGTTTATGTATTATTTATTGTTTTAGAACAAGAAAATGGCTTCAAAACGTTAGAAAGAAGATTTGATATAGGAAGAAAAATATCTGAATTCTCATTATTGAATTTGCACTCAATATTTTTAAATAAGATACCAAAATAAAAACCAAAATGCAGTGTTATAAATAACAATCAAAAATTAAAAAATATTTGTCATGAATATAGATTTACAATAATTAATCGATAATAGACTGTAAGTGTAGTATTCTTTTTAATAAATAATTTAGCGTAATTACATTGTTTAAGTTTATTTACAAGAACATGAGAGTGCAGTCGATATTTATGCAACCTTTATTATCAGGTTTTTAAATTTCCCGCTGCGTTGTTTAATATCGATGAATGCGGCACATAGTGGGTCAGATGTTAACTGCGATAAAGCTGGTCGTTGTTAAGCATTGGCTTCTTATGGGCGTTTCCTATCTTTATCTCCCTTATCTCTGCACTAACCGATAGCGAACCACTGATCTGTATTATTTTACTGGATATGATATAGCCCTCTAAAAAACGTTCCGAAAAATTGGCCGATTTGGGCAAATAATATGACGGACCGGATGTTATTTAACATAACCTCTTTTTCCATTTGTCATTTAATTGTGTCAACAAGTTACGATGAGATGTTTTTTTTATTTATTTAGGTAATATCGAATAGCATTACTATGATATAAACAATAAACGTTCATTCGTGAAGACACAATATGCTTCACGTTTCCATTTTTATATTTTCTTTCATAAAAAAATAAAATTATGGGTGAATTTTCCCGAAGGACATTGCCCGCAAAAAGGAATAGAAGAAGAATAAGAAGAAAAACTTATCAAATTATAGGTTAGGTATGTCAAATTATCCCAAAATTCAGTTATGTGAACCCACCATAATTTGCCCAAATCGGCCAGCAGTGTTGCACTTCCGGTCTCCTTGGTGGCACGGATTTTTAGTATGTTAAATATAGCCTATATCCTATCCAGTAAAATAATACAGATCA